TACATACATACATACATACATACATACATACATACATACATACATACATACATACATACATACATACATACATACATACATACATACACACACACACACGTTGAAATCCTACATTCAAGACACGAGAACGTGCATCTCTGCACTGATGATTTTAGGCTACAATAGACCAAAAGAAAGGCAAATTGTCAACAACACTTGTCCCACCAAAGAAAACTCAATTTGTACCAGATCAAATCGAAGTAACCTCTGATTACTCAACAGGATCCTCTCCAAACTTGGGCCAGAATACAGAATAATCTAATCAATGGGACCCACATAAGTTCTGGATTCTGAACTAACGATCAATATCAAAATAAGACCGTAACACACACAAGGAGATTAAAAGTAGTTCAAAACACCTTGAACACACACAAAAAGGTGTAGTCAAGATTGCAAGGAAGAAAAAAAATCACGCCCAACGTGGGGCTCGAACCCACGACCCTGAGATTAAGAGTCTCATGCTCTACCGACTGAGCTAGCCGGGCACATGAATTTTCTCATGGTTTTACTGACTGTACGCTGTGCCCTCCTTTTTTCCTGGAAAAGCTGCCAGATGGTATTGACTTATTGATCACTCAGGCATCGTATTAGTCTATTTTACTTTCCATTTACGCTTTTATATTTTAAGATTTTTGCTTTATCTTTAAGACAATCTGTCTGTATAGCTGTAAAGAATACTTTTGGGCCATAACCATTCTGAAAAGTTGTATTACGGCAAAATCTAATAAATGAAAGAAATGTTTCTTGTAGGCCAAACTGTAGTCATGAAGGCCTTTCTGCAGCCGGAAATCTGAACCCTGGCTTGTTGTGCATCAGCGAACATCATGGGGAAACAATAACACTGACTGAGAGAACAACACAGCAGAGTTGTACAGTAAACATTGAGATGTCTCGGTCTGGATTCTAGTTCTAGATTAGATCTAGATCTAGGATCTAGTTATTTGATTCTGCTGGTTGTAAAACAAAACTGGTCTTGTAAACAGAAGTAAGCTTTCCTGTGACTGTGGTGGGGTAGATAGATCTCTAGATTCTTTACAGTTTTTATAGAGGCAATAGAGGCCAGATCTAAGTGAGTGGTAGGCCTATTTTCACCGACACGCCCTTCTCGCCTTCTTCTCTGCCTTCTCTAGATCTAGATCTAGTAGATCTAGATCTAGATCTTTCTAGTGATCTACACTAACTCTGTCACTAGATCTAGATACTTGAGCTGTTATTATTGACTGACTATTTAGATCTAGAAATCTAGGCGCGTCACTGCCGTCAGGAGGTCCTACACTACAAAACAACGTTAACAAAGTCAAACAACAAAACAACGTTAACAAAGTCATATTATGACCAAACAATCTAGGGCTAGGCCAAGACGACGATGCTCGACACTCGACTCTATAGGCCTAGGCCTATCGATTACTGAACAGAACAGGTAGAAACACCGCCCGATTACTACCGAGCCAAGATGGCGGCCAGGCCCGGCCTGGGGTAACAGACGAAAAAGTGACGAAATCTATATATGTAGATTGAGAAGATCATGTTGTCACTCCACACATTCTTCACTGTCCATAACTTCTGGGTCTTAGTCTTTGCTTTTTTTGTTGGAAACTAATTGAACATGGACCTTTGACACTTAGAATCTAATATAGAATCTAGATCTAGCCTAGTCTTCTTTAGGCCTACTTAGTTTAGAGTAGGCCTACTCAGACTCAGTTAGGTGCCTTACCCTAATGGTCCCTAACCTAGATTCTTCTAGATCTATATATCTATGTCTAGATCTAGATCTAGATATCTAGATTCTAGTAGGCTAATCTAGATCTAGAGTCTAGAGGTGATTGATAAATTTTCTACTCTCTCTGTCTCTGTCTCTGTGTGTGTCTCTCTCTCTCTCTCTCTCTCTCTCTCTCTCTCTCTCTCTCTCTCTCTCT